CCTCCTACGGCGCGACCGGCTTGGCCTTCCCCGCGCAGCCCCAGCCCCAGCCGCCGCCGCACCCCCTGCCCCAGCAGCTCCCCGTGCAGCATCCGAGGCTGCAGGCCCTGAAGGAGGAGCCGCAGACGGTGCCCGAGATGCCCGGCGAGACGCCGCCGCTGTCCCCCATCGACATGGAGTCCCAGGAGCGCATCAAGGCCGAGAGGAAGCGCATGAGGAACCGCATCGCCGCCTCCAAGTGCAGGAAGAGGAAGCTGGAGAGGATCGCCCGGCTGGAGGAAAAAGTGAAGACCTTGAAAGCGCAGAACTCGGAGCTGGCGTCCACAGCCAACATGCTCAGGGAGCAGGTGGCGCAGCTTAAACAGAAAGTCATGAACCACGTAAACAGCGGGTGCCAACTCATGCTAACGCAGCAGTTGCAGACGTTCTGAGGAGGGACTGTGGCGGCTGAGAGCAGAGGAGAAACAAAGTAACACAGACTGACTTGAGAACTTGACAGCTTGCGACCCAGAGAGAAGTGTCCGAGGACTGAAGCCAAGGGTATCCAAGTTGGACTGGTTGCCTGACGGCGCCCCCAGCGGGCATGAGTGGGAAGGACTTGGCGGGGAGCCCCGGAGCGGCTGTCCGCGGGCTGCCCCCTCTGCGGACGACGGGCTGTCCCCGCGCGTACGGGGCGAGGGACTCTTCAACATTGACCAAGAACTGCATGGACCTAACATTCGATCTCATTCAGTATTAAACGGGGGGCGGGGGGTTCCAAACTGCTCTAGAGACTGTAGCTTGCTTCCGTAGTGCTCCTTAAGAACAAAAGGGGAGGGGGCGGAGGGAGGGAGGGTGTGAGGCCAGGCTGAGCCTGCAGGTGAACGCTTTCTGGCCTGCCTTCCTCAACTGTTTATGTACATATATATATATTTTTTAATTTGATAAAAGCTGATTACTGTCAATAAAACAGCTTCCTGCCTTTGTAAGTTATTTCATGTTTGTGTGTCCTGCCCAGTGTTGTTTGTAAATAAGAGATTTGGAGTACTCTGAGTTTACCATTTGTAATAAAGTATATAATTTTTTTATGTTTTTTTCTGAAAATTCCAGAAGGGATATTTAAGAAAATACAATAAAATATTGAAAAGTACTCCCCAAATTATGTTCTGCCTTATCTATAAAGCTAGCTAGATGGAGCTGAAAGAGTTGAGCGTCAGTTAAAATCACTTGTAGTGCTTCTTGCTATCAAGCAGTGTAAACTGTATTCTCTACTAGACTTTAGAAACAAATACACCTGATGCTACCATCAGGTTATACCCTTTCCTTCTCCACTGCTGTAAAGAATTGCTTACCAAAAGACAGTGTGGTGTCCCAGGAAGCTGGAAGAAGGAAGGCTGCCATGGGAGCAGCCTGGGTAATGCCAACACTTAAAAGTTTGGGATTGTATCAAGTGGCATGTGTCATTATCCTTGATAATGTGGGTAGAGATTTAACAATAGATACTTATTCTCAAAGGAGAGCTTGTGGCAGACTTTGCAAAAGATGTATCTATCCAATTTGGAATCTTTCACAGTGCCTAGATTTTAAAAAATGGCCTTTGCTTATGAATATAACAGCATTCTTGTCACAATAAATATACTCAAATAATAATAACAAACCTTGAACTCCTTTCCCTTTACTACTTTTTTCCCCTGCAAGCTATATACTGAAGCTTTTCTTTTCAGTTGCTTGAGTTACCAGGTCTGTAATCTGAAATTACTCCGTAATTAGGAAGAGAATTTAGGAACAGTCAAAATAGAAGTTGTGATGTGGATGAAACTCAGTCTCTGCTTCTCTCTTCCCTCTCCCTCACTCCCTCTTCTCCCCACCCCCATCCCTAAAATAAACCCCTACGCCTAAGGAAATTACTTATATAGCAGTTTAACATTTTGGATTCATACCCATTCAGTATTCCTAAAATAACCTAGTTTAAATAATTATTATATACCACTCTCAAAAGATGCTAACCTAAATAGTATGGAAAGATTCACAAGAGAAAACAAACACCAACGCAGTGATTATGTGTGTAAACCAACCCTCAGCTCTGGAGAAATAGCAGATTTAAACTTTTTACAGGTATACTTAAGAGATCAACAAGGCAGTACTAAACAAAAGAACAATTTTTGCTTGGTTGCTTTTCATCCCGAGAGCCAGTATGACTATCAAGCAGCAAAAGCAATTTGATATCCAGGAATATTTTACAAACCACTACTTTAGGCAGGGCTGTTTGCTCATTAGCCGTGCTCTAGGACCCAACAGGTCTGGGAGTGCTAATACCCTGCCTGTGGCTGTAGTCCAGATAGACAAAGAGTTTCTCTTTAGGAGCAAATCCCAGAGTGGAAGATTGGCCTGTGAAGTATCAGATATAGTCATTGTAGTAACACTTCTTGAACAAAGGGTTACTGGGAGCAGAGCTGTGTTTGCCCAACAGTGAAGTTGCTGGTGTCAGCAACTCGGAAGGTGAGTTGATTTTGACCATATGTAGGAATAGTTAGCAGAGGGACAATAAAGCACTTTGGGGTGGGGCTCTGTAGAAGCTAAACAAGAGCCAACTAGAAAAAGGCAGGCCAGGGAATTAATTACCTGCAAAGGTAGACGAAGCCCAGACAACAGCACAGTACAGAAGGGCACACCACGCCTGTTTGCTTTAGACTTCAGCATTTAAAAACAGAAAAAGTATAAAACTCAGGCTTAGTTGATTCTTTCAACTAACATTCTAAATGTGTGGCCCTGAAATTCTGACCATTCTAACCAAAAGGGGTGGAAAAATAATTGTATCGGAGGAAATTAACCAATCATGCCCTGTAAACTTTAGAAACAGAAAATCAGCTGATTGTAAACACATTTAGTGATTAATTTCATTATGGACCTTCAGTGAGTTATTCTTTGGGTAGCATAAAGAGGATGAAGCTAATGATATATATAGTCGTTATCCTCACTTAATTTGTTATACGTATGTATGTATATTTCAATCATGAGTTCTTAACTCTGGGTCAGGACACAGGTTCATGAACACGAGAGAGAGAGAGAGAGAGAGAGAGAGAGAGAGAGAGAGAGAGAGAGAGAGGCAGAGAGAGCGACAGAGACAGACAGAGGCAGAGAGAGAGAATGATGGAGGGAGACAGACAGATAATATACTATCTGGGATGTGTGTGTGTGTGCTAGCTTTGATTAGGCCTTTCCAGAGTACTGTGTGTCATGAAAGGTAAATGAGCCGTGAACTGAATTGCTTCATGCTCACTATCAGAAACATATTTTTGTGTATAAAAAAATCTGAATCCCAAGCACTTTTACCCTTCCAAACTTCTGCTGACATTCCTCTACTCATCCCTCTGCACGGAACACCTTCTTTTCTGTTTCAACAGATGACTCCTCCCCCTTTTTCACTGCTTTCTTGGCATAAGTGATACCTTCTCCATCAAGCCTTCCTGGTTGACTCCATGTTCAGGTAGAATAACTAGTTGCCCTCTGAGCATCATAACATTTTCTCAAAACCTCTGTGCTAGAACTTGCCAAAATGTACTACCATTGTGCACAACTGTGTCTCCTGGTCCTATCCTATACATCAGGGGACCCTAGACTTCTAGTACAGTGTCTAACACACAGTAGACGTTCATAAAGTAAAATTTTAATGAATGAATGAACAAGTGAATTTAAACCCTTCTCCAACATGATTGAAGCCTTTCTTCTAGGGAAAAATATACTTTATTCATATCCTGGTACATAGTTCCAGATGGTTCGCAGACCTTACCAGAAAAATCAAACCTGGCCAATCACCAAGTTCTATATTCTTATTCTCAATGCATGTTCTTAAAGAATTAAGCTGTTAACACATTCGTATGTCTAGCCACACAGAACATTTTTTCCTACCTCCACTAATATAAATGGGCATCTTGTTATTTAAAATGAATCTGCCTGAAATAGTAGGCTTGGAGGTGGAGATGAGGAAGGAGAATATGTGTATCATTAAGCAGGCACAAAAAGTAGTTGCAGATGTGACTTTAATAAAAACAACCAACCTCAATGGTGGTGCAAGGGGAACTTTCTGTTTACGAAGCTAGATGTATTTCAGGCATCTAGAAATTAGTACCCTACCACATGTTTACTTGCTGAGATACATGTCCTCTTATCATTAGAGAAGAAGTTTATTTCTTTTTTTTTTTTTT